ACACACACACACACACACACACACACACACACACACACATACATAATGGTCATACAAACAACCTTTGAGCGCACTGACAGGAAGAACAACGAGAATGTATTTGATTTGCAAAATAACAACAATACACAGTAGAATAACAGAAAGACATATTTCAAATATTCAACCATCAATTTATTTTGTTTACACAAACTAAAATTCAGAGCAAAATATAAAACCTGAAATATACCACATGGGATTTTAAAACGCAGATGGCCCTGAAGAACCGTATAAATAAACTTGAGGGTGATTTTTCCAATTAAAACTAAAGGCTGAGTAATTTGGACTATTTCATTTTTGTGTGTGAGCAATAAAATTGATTAAACAGCTGGGCCACATACAAAGTTTTCAACAACCAAGCTCCATCTTATTTTAAAGCTTGTGTTGTTCCATATTCCCGGAGCACTTGGCTMTCAGACTGCAGGTTTATAGTTCAAATGTGTTTCTGAAATGGGAGGCAGAGCTTTCAGTTTTCAGGCTCCCCTCTTGTAAACACAACTTCCAGTTTCTGTTTGATCTAATAAAGCCATCTACTTTGTTGACATTGAAAGCCAGAATAAAAGAGCATTCAGGAGTCTCTTTATAAAGCCGTACATTTTGAAGGGTAAACTGCTGCATGAATTTAGACCTCACTGCAAAATCTGCTCACTTTTAGATTTAAATCTGGATCTCRGAACAAGAGGAACTGGCTGAGGAATTTAAATGCACTTCTTGGTGGGCAGCACTAATCTAAAAACTAGTTCCACTAGCCCTAAAACACTAASTCAAAAATTTAGGTCCCCTAATTCTAAAGCACCAATGGACTGAAATTTTTAGCAAAAGCTAATTCTAAAGAAAATAACCCAGTCAACCCATGAACATTCTTCAACAGACAACATGAGTCACATATTATCATGTTGCTCTCTTAAGACTTATGATTGACATTCCACAGCTGTATTTGAGTTAATATATCTTTAATATATTGTCAYCTGGTGGATAAGTGACATATAAACAAAATGTTTGACAGCTTTAACCCTCAGCTGTTAACATTAATGTTGATCAATAACAATTATAGACCTCAGTTAGTGCTTCTAAATTTAGCCTATAAATTTAGCAAGTGCTAATCTGCTAATAAATTTTAAAATTAACAAAAGCCCTAAAGCACTAATAAAGAAAATAGTTCCCCTATTAGTGCTTTAGGGGAACTGTGCCCTCCACTGTTGGTAAATATTAAAAAGATTAGTTAAAACGTATTGGTAATGTTTGCCAGGCCATGTAAATTGCAGGGAGTGTTGAGTTTGATATTTTAATGATGTCATCAGGAAACTAATTTTTGAGGAAGACAAATTTATCAGCTTCATGAAAATGGTCAAATGAAAATAAGTCCACACTTATACAGCCCTTTTGTTTKTTTTWTTTATTATTTTACTGTTGTTTAACCAGACAAATCCTAGTGAGATAGCAGATCTCTTTTTCAAGGGAGACCTTTGAAGGCCCYACAGTGACTCCCACACTCCATGCTTTCTATTACAGGATACAGAGCCGGCTCTTGGCATAGGCAAACTAGGCGGTCGCCTAGAGCGCCATCTGCTGGAGGGGGCACCAAACTGCAGAAGAAAAAAACGTAATTATTTGTAATCCCTGGTTGTAACTCTGCTCAGCGCCCCTTTCAACTAGCTTTGTCTTAAAAAACAATAATGAAGTATTACAGGAAAAATAAACTACTACTACTAATCTTGCTGACATCCATTCTGACACAGTGAGGACTGGGTTTGTCAGCTGAGGACCTTATGAGGTAAAATCAGACTTATACAGTATTTTCCAAAAAGAGAGGACCTTCTAAATCTTTGCACAAATTGTGAACAGGGTCTTTTGTTTACCCTTGTCATTTGATTTCATTATATTTACTTTATTTATTCATTTAATTTGTTGTGTTGTGTGATGTATGTTTGTGTTTAAAACAAATAAATCTAAGTTGGGGGGGTTGCGCTTCAACTCGCCTAGGGCACCAAAATGGCAAGAGCCAGCACTTACAGTATAATATACTATACACTGAACCTCCCATTGCTACCAACATGCTTGGATAATAAAGAGAATACAAAAATGAAGTCTTTGCCCAAGGGCACTTCGGCACACAGCAGGGGCTGAGGACTGAATCCTTGCTTCCTCTTTTGGGAGACAACTTCCCTATATTGAGCTAACAGTCAATAAAATCTGACAACACTTTACAAACTTTAAACCATTTTCAAATAGGTTGGAAACTTTTTTAATGGAATGCAAACKTTAGTTTCTTCATTGTTTYAACCTTTATGTAGCCATTTTCTTACACATTTTTTCTGAGTCTGTCATGCAGCTTTATTGTATCCAGGAGTAAAAGGGCTGGAAGATAAAACAGTCAGCTGATTATCTGTGACAGCTGTCAGGTGTTGTTATAAAGGAAGAATCTACAAAAGAAAAGTCTTTCTAAGCAAAAATGGGTTTACCAGTTTTGTGTCAAACTCCATCAGAAAATTAGTAATCTAATCTTTCATCATCTATGGTGAATAATTTTGGATTAAAAAATCAGAAATCTGAGCACATCTCACTGCAGGCGTTTTTTTTTTTTTTTTTTTTTTTTAAACCTCATGAATGAGAAATTACCAGTATGTTACTGTGATGAACTCAGTAGCACATTGGAAAACTCAACAATGTACACAGAATCAAGAACCTGAAATTTAATTACTCAAGAAAGTTTTATGAAACGTCTGTGCACTGCTGAGCCTTCTGGGAAAGGTYTAACCTCTGGATGGAAAGATACATATTTTGTGGTCGTATAAGKTAATGTTTCCGTTTGATTTCTGGCAAACTGGACATCAAATGAAATGAAGACGATCATTCAAGCTTTTTTCATAAAACGGGGGAAAATTCATGCATGTTTGCTGGTAGGGTTGCATCTGTGCTCATAGAATGGATGACTTTCATATGTGTGGATGTGTTGTTACGGCAAAGGCACATATTGGAAAGTTCTAGAGATGAATGGGTTCGTTTCAGAAGGAAAATAAACCTCATTCTTTATAACAAACAAGTTTTCAGCACAATTTTCAGAGTGATTCTCTTTGATATACTAGACTGTCGTTTTTTAATTTTTCAATAGAACTTCACCATCATTGGAAGCTTTTTCAATCATTGTTCTGCATCAAGAAAGCAATAAGCTTGGCAAATACTGGAAAACGCAATATTTACCTATTTTCCTTCATCTGCTTTTGCTATGTTTCTTGACAAAAAAAAAACTTTTAGAGTGCTTTTTGTGATCTTTTTTTTACTCAAGCTCAAACATGTGCTGTATACATCAATGAGTATTTTTCTTGTTTTAAGTATGAATAATAGTTAGAATGCAGAAAGAACTTTTTGGAACTTTTCCTCAAGCAACATATAAAACCCTATAAAACTATTGAGGTTAACATCGTCAAATCTACAGTCAGAGGCTCAAACAGTGCATGAGCAATAACTCAGATWGTGAATTTGCATATCTTTTCATCTTTGTGGAGACCAACCATTGCCCTAACCCCTACTGAAATCCTTTATTACAACACTAATCATCAAAACTCAGTAACTCCTTTTCAGTCTTATTTTTGAACCAAGTTTCAATCCTTGGAAAAACATTCAGACTTATTAAATCCAATCAAAGCTATGGACATTTATGGCCCACACATTTATTTAAACAAGCAAATACACACACAGAAATGTGGGACACTAAGCTGACTATACCATAAAACAGAAACGATTGTATTGAAAGGATTGCATATCTTGTTTTATTATTGTAAGTGKTTGGTGTTTTGCAGCCTGCATTTACCTGTTGTATTAAGTGATGTGAGGCTTTTATAGCTTTTAAAACTCTGTTAAAACAAGTACAGTTTAATCAGATGTCTTGTTCGTTGTATTTTTGTATTTTGATTTCTATGGACCCCAGGAAGACTAGCAACCACTGCTGTGGAAGCTAATGGGGATCCAGAGGAAACAATAAACAATAGTTTGGTTTCATCTGAGTCACAAACTGAGCAGCATCTGACAGACAATGAAGGCAGGACATATTGAAAARGGACATCTAAATATCATCCCTGCCTCTGTGGAACTGGGAATCCTAATCAAAAGCAGAGAACTGTTTGAACTATTCATGCCAACATCAAAACACAGAGATGAACAAACAGGCGCCACAGCTTTAATGTCCCTTCAAACCTCACTGAACACACAGGCTCCATAGCAGCTCAACAGCACCTCTCTGAGGTACATCTGGGTACTAACCTTTACACAAGTACTAACCTTTACACAAACGCACTTAAAAATGCCTCAGGTCAGGGGTTCTCAAATTTATTGTTTGTTTGAGCACAACTGCAGAAAATACTAAGGTCTCCATGAACCACCCTTAAGTCAAACATTGAAAAACAGTAGTAAATTAAAAGCTTATTTTATCGGTTTAGAAATTTGTACTTAAAAACCCAAATTTGCTTCTTCTCTAACTTTAATACTTCAAGCAACCAACCCAAGGCAGACCCTATGATCAGTGATGGTCAAAACACAGAATGAAACACCCACAACTTTGAATGTGTCCCAAAGTTCTAACGTCAAACCTAAAGATGCTCTGATACTCTAATATAGTCGAAGAAACTGGTTAAGTTGGAATGGTTCCATGCAGGGAGACACGACCCCACAATGGTCAGAGCTGTTGCTAAGAGTGGTTGGTTGTTYCCACTGTTGTATAAAGTACCTCAAAGTGATACTTGAGTAAAAGTMCAAGTATATTATCATAAAATTACTTTGGTAAAAGTTAAAGTCTCCTCTAAGAATATTACTTGAGTAAAAGTCTTTAAGTATCTTATTCCTTTTGTACTTAAGTATTAAAAGTGAATTTCTGACATAAAATCTACTTAAGTATTAAAAGTGAAAGTATTGAGTAAAAAATGAGCAGTAAAGATTTTCCTAAATGACATTTAACTCTCCAAAAATATTTTTTCTAATTTTGTGCAGCTGGGATGGACTGTGTACAATGTAATACGGTGCCAGAATTTATACTTCTCATCCAACCATAATTAAATTCACACAATTTATCAGGATAGCATTTTTTTAATAGTAATAACAACCCAGAATAAAATAGGAGTAACAACTTTCTACTTCTTACCGTTTTAAAAAAATGTAAGGAGTAGAAAGTACAGATAATTGTTTAAAAATGTAATGAGTAAAAGTAAAAAGTACTCTAAAAATAATTACTGAAGTAAAGTACAGATAATCAAAATTTCTATTTAAGTACAGTAACAAAGTATTTGTACTTAGTTACTTTACAACTCTGGTTGTTTCTATGGYCCTGTGACAGGCTTGTGACCAGTCCAGGGTGTATCTTGCCTCTCCCACACCACTGGGCTGGGCACCAGCTCCCTTTGACCCGCAAAGGAGAAGCAGGGRAAAAATGGATAAGTGGTTTCAGGCATTTGTTGAAAACACCACATACTTCACAGTCTTTACTGTTCTTCTGAGGTAACCTGAACCATTTGTCCTGATGCATCTCAGTAATCCAGGTGAAAAATCAAAATGAAAAAAATTGTATAGGTCTTCTGGACGGGTTCTTCTCTAATGAAACRTTTCGTCTCTCCTCCAAGAGACTTCTTCAGTCTGAGAGTTTCAGGCAAAATTCAGGCTTTTAAGCCCTGCCTCCATGTGACTGATACTCACATCACATGCCTGAACCATTTGTCACCTTCTTTTACAAGGGTCTTATAGACACTGGCACTAATTGCTACCAGCACACCAGTAAACCATTCACGAGTTCAGTTTCCACAGGGCTTCTCCATAATCTCTTCACACCAATATTGTCTAGAAGTTTCCATTTGGAGAGAAATGTGCTCGAAACACTCGTCTTTGTGGTTGTTTCTACTTTTTAATTTTGCACCACACTTCAGTATTTATTAAACTTCTTAATTTAATTTTAATTGCTTGAACCAAAATGTCTTCAGAATACCACCAATGGTATTTGTTACACAGTTTGAGAACCATGACCTTAGGCATTTAAGGCATTATTAGAGGGAAACCTGGGGGCAAATTTGTAAATTTTGCTCTAAATTTATGTCTTTGAATACTAATCTTGCACACATTTGTGCCTGGACCTATTGCAGTATTATGCTGAGTTTCTCTTGTAGGCCAAAGCATTAGGGATGACTGATTCACACAAAAAATCCTTTACTAATCTGCACAGTATGAATAATAATAATAACATGTTAGCTTCAGTGATTTTAAACTGCTGTGCAGGACTCATAAATATCATCAGGAGGAATAGCACAAGAAGCAAAAGATTATAAATTTTACATTTCATTTGAATAGACAAACTATAATTAGTTSCTTTGCCATTATCACCATGAACTGGGTGTGCCTGTGTTTGTATATCAATAAATTTTCACTCCCAGAACTAAACTCTAAAGGCACCTATTTGAATCATAAACAGGGAAACAAATAAAACAGCTTAAGAAGCCTAAAACATTTTAAAGCACTTTTTAATTAAAAGAACTGTACAAGAAACGCACAAAAACAACATGAAACATAACACCGAATACATTATTTGTACAGCAAGAGTTTGCAAAACATGCTTCAGAGGTTCACATACATTACATTGCCATTATTTTCCTCTAACTTCTTGTTATGACTTTGAGTACATTGTACATAATTCATATAATAAAAATCAGACAACTGCACTCTTGATACACTTGAGAAAAAAACATTGATTATTAAAAATGGCATTCAAGTAAAGAGCCTTACATTAACATAATGATGCATATTTCAAACAAGTATTAAAATACAGTACAAATAGAGGAAAATGCTTCAAAATAACAATTCATAATTGAGCATTTTTATCCATTCAATTGAACAAAGTTCCTTCGTTTTAACCAATCAGTGCCAATCCAGCACTTACAACTTTACACCACATTGATGTAAAAAAAAAAAAAACAATAATAATTCAAGGCTAATAATTGTAATAAATCAAATTTCAATAGAAACAAGAGCCCTATTTGGTTACAAGACAGGCCACTAAGTTCAGTTGTGCTACGCCTTAAGAAAAGAAAAAGCATAGTTTTGCAGTCTAATACCTTAAAACATCCACCGAGTGCTACTGTCACCATCACCTAAAGATATTACAGTCACAGAACATGAAGGAAAATATTCCAAATAAGATATCTATTTTGCGAGAAAAAAAAAAAAAGAAAAAGAAACAAAGAAGCCTAGTTCAGACAGCAGGGTAAAAAAAAAAACTTTAACACCTACTTTTTCTTTCATCAAATGGATATGTCATACTGGAATAAGTCCCTTCATGCAACCTATTGGAGCACTGAAACAGTAAAGTGAACAACCACAACCATCCGGTACATAACATGAAACAAAGAGGCGATGTCATCCTCATCTGTTACAGACAGAGAAGTCCTTCTAAAATGTTTGCAAAACTGAACCTCAGAAACCRTGGACAGTTACAGTAATAAAGGTTCCTTACAAGCTTAAGCCACAACTAAGTATTTTAAGTCTCTTGTGTTATAAATGCCAAGCAAGATCAGGGGTGCACAGAGCAGCTATAAGGCAACACATGCGGAAGAGTTATAATACAGAAAACAAAGTAAGAGTTGAAGATTGAGAAGGTCTGAAAAGAGCAGGAAGCATCAGGAAACTAAACTGTGAGGAAATGCTTCTTTATAGAACTTAGGATGTGCTTGAAGGTTTAAAACGGGTTCAAAACTTGGAATGATGTTAATATTTGTTAGAATTCAGAGGGAAACAACTTTCAGTTGATGTGCTCAGAAGAGGATGGAGGTAACCATCTGACTGTCAGAGATCCACCAATAACAGGTCACGTGTGAAGAGAACTACAGCACAACCTCTTCAAATCGAACATGTCATTTAGGTATGTTAAGGCATCCTTGGRTCAAACTATCATTTTTCTACCTACATGTGCCAAAACTTGTGTGTAAAGTCAAATAAAAAGACATGMGCAGGGAGCTCATAAAGACAACAGCAMAGATTATGGTCAAACAGAAACCCCAAACAAATATGTTTTAGGGTTGTAGTTGATTTGTTTTAGAAACTGGGTTGGACAAGACTGGTTGCTTTCTTAACTGGCTAATCCCAACACTTATTTGTCTTCTAAAAAAACCCCAACAAAACAAGGATTCTCCAGTTCCGTCACCAAGTCCACGAGTAACAAGAAAAACAAAAAAATGTCAATCCATGCTAATTAGGCCACTTCGAATAACACCAGCTTTGTAGAAAAAGAATACTGAAGAAAAAAAAAMTGAGAAGAAAAACAAGGAAAGCTTTTTGTGGAGTTTAAGCACCTTTGCGATTGATTTAGAAGCAAAAACGGTTTATACTCACAGACGTGAAACTGAAGCCAAGATCWGAAATACAAGAAACTATTTGGCTTCACTTCACTGGCAGCTCCTGGACCCTTTAGACCTTGATGGGTTGAGACATTAAATGGTGCAATTCTGGCACGTTTCCCAATTAACTGCAGGCCAGTTTGGGATCACAGTGAACATGAACAAGCTGAAGAAGAGGGTGAGTTTGTGACAAATCAAAGCTAGACTGCACAGATAGATTAGAAATCTATTAGTTATTTGAGAACTTTTAGCATTGTGTACGTTCGAGAGCGAAGGAGGAGGGAGAAGGCCTTGAAAAATAGATGAACTACATTGAAGAACAAGCTGCTTTTGATGCAGTGCATTGCATTTACTTTCCTGTGCTGATGCAATATACCGAGGGTCCARCATGTCTTAAGTGCAAAAAGACATCCCCTCATTCAACATCAGCAAAACTAGACTTCCACTGACACCTGGGGTCATTAAACAGACAAAACACCTGAAGGCTGAAGAAACTGTATAGCAGCTGACTCAGCAGAAGGACAACTCCTTTTACTCAGAGTGAGTGTGACTGATGAGAGCCCACACACCAGACGGGTGAGGGACACGCCGTTGGGACAACTGGTATATCTGCAAACAGRCCTAAACTCAGCATGTTTGTGTCAAGTGAGAGAAAACAAATATTGTTTCCTGTCAAATCTGCTTCAAAGAGTCAATGTGCACAAAAATATGGCAATTTAAATGGCAAGAAGGGCTTATTAGCTGCCTGTTTTTGTGAAATCATACGTTTTTTCCTTTCACTTTTTTTAAGAAAAATATCTTTTTTTTAATTGCCTTAATTCATGGCTGGGCGATATTTAGTTAAAATACAATTCATTACCTGTACCACAAATATGAATATACCCCTACGGATAATGTAAGACAGGGCTGACGTGGCAACACTGGTTGATATATATATATATATATATATATATATATATATATATCTTTTTTCCATCTTCAGTGGCAATCTGTTTGAGAATATCTAATCTCCTATGGCTTCATGGAAGAGGCGTCCTCAGCGGCTGTGGCCGGAGGAGGGGAGGAGGCGCTTTCAGGACTGGCAGAAGGGGAAGCGGGGCCAGAAGCAGGAGAGGGGAACTCTTTGATGGTGACGGTGACGAGGTTGGTGGTCACGTCTGTGACCACCACGTCTTTGCAGCTCGGTGCCATTTCWGGGTGCCAGTCGGGGTCTCCTTCAGCTGGCACCCTTTGGGGCTCGACGGGGGCGGAGGTTTGTTCCCCTGGAGTGACGGGGGGAAGGGTGGGGGGTGGTTTTGCTTTGCGTTGGCAAGGATTTTTTCTGCCTCCGTCTGAGGGCGGCGACAGGTCCGTGGTGCCCTGTTCTTCGTCTTCTAAGGAAGAAGATGGAGACGAGGGGAAGGAAGAGGCCAAGGCTCCGGGGTTTGCATCCGAGGACGAGGCGGGAGCAGGTGGACTTTTCTGTTTTTCCGTGAGAGATCTACTGGACTTGGGATCCTTGCTGAGAGGCGCGGCTTTGRCGGCAGGCTGGGACTTGCCTTCGGAGCCACTGGAGCTGGAGGGAGAAGGAGGAGCCTGGTACCGAGAGGGGGTGCTGTGGCTGTTCCGAGCTCCTGGGCTGGTGTGTGACCCCGGGTGGGAGTGAAAAGACATGGGACCTCCACACTGCAGCCCGAACGGCTTYCCGTACATCGGGAACCCCAGCATCTTCAGAGGAGGCTGGAACGGTCTGTAAGGAGCCTCCCCCTTCCTGCCGATGATGCGGTTGCGCGAAGGGATATTCTGCCGTCCCGCTGCCATGTTCCTTGCGCCCGCAGCTGCGCCGCCCCTGCTCGGCTTGTCAATCACCTTTAGGTTGAGGATAATCCGACCTCTCTTGACTTCTCGAGGCTTGACCCGACGGTTGAGGATGCGGACGGTCTCGGAGAAAGGGGASACGTGCATGCGGGAGGGGAAGCCGCCCGGGTTGGAAAGTGCAGATGCCGTGGGGTTTGAGCGAGGCAGAGGGCGCCGGGACATCCGGTGGCAGCGGTGAATGTCTTTTTTCAGCTTATGGGTGGCTGCAAGGGAGTTGAGTTTAGGAGAGGGAGCCACGGTCAGGGAGGAGGAGGAGGAGGACGGCAAATTAGGAGAGGCAGAAGAGGAGGGAGCTGCTCGGCTAGTAGCAGCCAACAAAGAGGAGCCGGATGTGTTCTGACGGCTGCTGGAGGCTCGACTGCTGGTCTCTCCTTTCTGACTGCGTGTCTGAGGAAAACACAACATATAAGAGTCAAAGTTATTCTTTAAAAGCTTGGCAAATGAAACCACAGGTTGATTAGTTCAGAAAAAACACAGCATGGCACATAATGTAGCACCTGACTGACTGCACTRTGCCTTCTCCAGACTGTTGTAAGAAATAAAACTGCAGAAAAAATAAAGTATACTCTAACCTACTCTATATTATTTAATAAAAACACGACACAAAAAGTTTTAAGAACAAAAAAATTGGCTTTCAAAATAAAAGGCATTTCTTCAACCACTTTTTTTTTCTTTGCGAATGTGTCAAAAGTTCGTTAGACAGCATCTCAAATGAAACAGTTGAGCTTCACCTGAAATATTAAAGCAAAAATTACAAACTGTACCTTCGTAGCTAAGTGTTTGGGTTTTGGTCCCCGCTTTTTCGGTCCGTGTATTTCCCTTTCTCGTTCCCTTAAAAGAAAAGAAAAGAAGACAGGAGATGAAGAACAAAACGATTGCAAATTTTCCAGAATCGAGGTGAAACCAAAAATAGGCCAAAAAGTGCAAATATAGAAAAATCAGACAGATGAGCGAGACGGCAGCCGTCAGAGCGGAAAGTAGAGCGAGCGTACAGACGCTCTCCAACAGTCTTGTCCTTTTTGTGCTCTCAAGTACACTTCTGTGTCTTTTTGATGTGTCCTTTTAAGCTGTGACAGCTTCAATTTCCTGCAAACGTCTCCGCAGCAAAAACCTKTCGAGTGGTTTTGAACTTCTCGGAAATTCGATGAGATGAAGAAGGAATGTAAAGACACAGACAGAAACGGCCAAAGAACAAACGCAATGCAAATATTTACTTTCCTGGAATTTGTCTTAAAGATATACAACTTTCTTTGTGTGTGTGTCTGTGTGTGTGTGTGTGTGTGTGTGTGTGTGTGTGTGTGTGTG